AGGGGGGGGGGGTTGGTTAATAATAAAAAGATTTTTTAATGTGTTTAGTTTATATTTATCAAAAAATTTATTATTAATTACACATGTCATTCTTTAATTGGTTCATTTGACATGTCACTGGCGAGTGCAACTCACACATATAGTCTGCCAGACTCGGGTGTTCACGTGATACATTTAATAGCCACTTGAAGTGTTTAACCGAAAATAGTTTCAGTTGAGGTGTTCAACTGACCGTTGTGGACAATTTGGAAGGGCTGTTTATGTATTTCGTCAATAATTTATATATAAAAAAGGAAGGAAACGCAATCTAGGTACATCTCTTTTAAAAAAAAAATATTGAATCATGTGATAAGCTCTTGTAAAGCTTATCTTTTCAGCCCTAGATCCTTTTAATTGAAGCAGTTTAATTAATATAGAATCTTTACATGCTTTGTTACAATAATAATTGTGTGAAGCTTTTGGGGTTTCCGGTGAAATAAAAAATGAGTGAATATATTGTAAATAGTTTCCGATACCAACTTATAACTATATGGAGTTTATGAAATTGTTCCGCCCTCCATCTAGGGCTGTGCATAATTTGGTAAATACCGAATTACCGTACCGAAACCGAAAATTTTGGTATTTGGTATTCGATATTTTGGTATTCGGTATGGTATTTGGTTTAAGTTTTAAAAAATATTGGTGTTAGGTATAGTATTGGTATTTTAACATGAAATACCGAAATACTGATACCGCACCGAAATATATATATTATATTACACAATACACATATTATTAATTATACCATAATATAAAAATCTAAAATTTTACTTTCCTTTATTCTCTAAGTTCATCAATTAACTCTAAGCAAGTAATAAGACATTTCTAACGATCAAATTTATTCTTTTATGTATAGTTTTCTCTCTCAGGTTGATATTTGCTAGTTTTGGACAAAACTTTTGTCAACAAACGTTTTTAATTTTGTACTTTTGAGTACTTTAATTAAGAATATTATAGTCTATGACTCTATGCACTAATTAGTATTCAAACCGAATAAACCGAAACCGAAAGGAGAAAAAATCGAACCATATCGAAGACCTATCCTTTGTAAATGCTGCCACGCCCATGTAGGATCCGACACACACCTGCAACATTTTCGGAGAGTCCGAGCAACATAGTTTTAATGTATCTTTTTATGTGATTGTAGTTGCTGTTTGTTCATCATTCATTAACATGAAATATTTGATCTTCAATATAATGCTTAAGCAACTGTTCTTTGCTCCTCCACGAATTAGTAGTTATATACTTATATTTGATAATATGAATTTGGTAACTGGGGCTTTGGCTAAGTAGCTTAAGAACATTAGAGCAATGTTAAAACAAGGGCGTGATATTGAGGAGCTTGTTTTCTAGTAATATATACTGGATCCACAAATATGAGAGAATGACATAAAGTTAAAGCCTGTTCACTACTTCCTCTTTGCTGTTCATGTTATAAGCCATAAGAAGTTCTAACATTGTAATCCGTTCTGCATTAGTCTTCAGGTTTTGCAACGATCCCATTGCCTTGCAATGAAAGTCATATGTCACTTACTATATTCAAGCACCCTTTATTCTCAAAGAAAGAAGTGCCTTGATTGCTAAGGCAGCTACTGATATTGATAGCGCGGGTTCTGATAATACAGAGAGTGATGAAGAAAGCGTGCTTGTTGGTAACCTGCCATTGGAGTCTAAGCTTCAGCTGAAGCTTGAGCAGAAGATGAAGATGAAGTTGGCAAAGAATATCCGATTAAGAAGGAAGAAACTTGTTAGGAAGCGACACTTAAGGAAGAAAGGGCGATGGCCACCTTCAAAGTTGAAAAAGAACAAGAATGTTTAGTCTTTACCTCAAGACGTTTGCAGGTTTCTGCTCTCTAGATTTCCTTCTATTATCGCAATTCACCTTTTTGTAGCCTTAAAATCATTTCAATTTGTTAATAGAATTTTAAGGATTAAACCTTTTGTTCCAGATTAATTTCTTAATTTTTACAGTTTAGATGGTATTTATAGGGAAGGCTCTTTTATTCCTTTCGATATTGATACTGGAGGTTCTCCATGGAAAGAATTCCTTGACATCTAGACAGTCACATCAATTAGTTGTTGCATTCTGTGCTATCTGAACTTAGCTTTGTTTGCTTTTGCTCACTTTCTTGAGTTCTTCTGGAGGCCAAGGCAGGGGTTATAGATGTTTGCTTTAGAGGTTATCAAAGTGAAAACAATTCCCTTTGATATCATTGGTTTTGACATCAATTGGTTTGTTCCTATTTTTCCAGTGTTTAGGTTCTTGAATAAGAAATGCTAGCTGTAAACTTGTATCGTGATCCAATTTCACTCTTATCGCTAAATTTAGCGGACAAATATAGATGTCCTTCAGTATCACGAAGACCTTAATGAATCTACAATATCGAAGTCATTTCGTACACCTCACAGGTCAGGAGATCAAATGGAAAAATGGACTGGATTCGTATGATACATTTCAGTAGTTTGTGTATGTTTTGAGGAAGCTCTATGTTCTTTAAGTGGAGTTGGGAACTGAAACTACCATTTTGACAAGAGTCACTAGACTGATGATAGGCTTGCTTGGTGGATTGACTCCATAGTTCCAAATACAGTAGTTTGATATCTTACTTTAGGATATATCTTTACCTACATGGCTACATGTATTTGTTTGAAAGGAAAATGGCAGAGCGGTGTATTCTTCTATAAGTTAAGCTAAAAGTAGAGTTGCATAAGTTATCAAAGAATAATCAGAAAACAAACTTGTTTTTGGTAAGTAGTGACAAATACTGATATTGAAAATGAGGTCAGCTACTCATATATATACCAAGGCAAGCTAGGAGGGGAGAGAGGTATATCGAAGGTTTGGTTGTAATGACAAAATACAAAGGATTGGATACATACATCAGAATTTGCCTATTTTGCTGTACATTTTGCCAGTAGATATAGCAAAGCAATTAAGAAACAATGTTTCTCCCTTATAACTTTCAACTCTTCATCCTGAAAAACAGCACTCGTGATCATTTATGCTTGCATTAGATAGGCTGCCTATATCACACCCCTTTGGGGTGCAGCCCTTCCCTGGACCCTGCATGAACGCGGGATACTTTGTGCACCGGGCTGCCCATTTTGCCCGACAAAAAGGCATGAGTCAATAGAAAACAAAGATGCTTAGACGATCTTTTCTTATCAATCATTCATCTAGAAGTAGCAGAGACAGAATTGCACAATTGCTTCCTTTAATCTGAAAAGGATAGAGGTGCCAACTGTTCAAAGAAGTTCCATAACAAACGCCTTAAAAGTGTAACAGAAAAGCGACTAAATGGAAACATCAAGAACTAAAGATACATGAAAATTAGATGAAAATGATATTATTCCATTGATACAGAGATTTAGAATGAAGATTCAAGGTCAGAAGCAGTTGTTGTTGTCCTAATGCCGATGGATTTTCTTAACAAATCAAACGAAGTGAAAGAATACGGTGAAAGTACAACATCCATGTTCTCGCTAACTTGTTTGACCAAAATTTCAACTGGTGACACCTGTATATAATAAGATTATAAGATTTCAAGGAAAGCAGTAACCAAATTAAAGGGAATAAAACTCTCTTTTGATCAAGTATAGTATGAAATGGAACATGTTTGTACCTTCTTAGGATCTTCGAAAGAATTCTCATCCATCACATTGGTAGATGTTAATGTAGTTTTTGTTGCCCCAAAGGACTGCAACGAGTTCTGCTCCAATCCACTGATAG